GCCATCTTGGTGAACTTCCTCAGTGGCCTCGTCGCCGACCTCCTCGAGGCGCGCTTTGACACCTGTGGCCCACCCTGTGGGCCAGCCTGCGAACATCAAAGGCATTCATCAAGATCCCAAATCAAGTCGAAAGCTTCGAACAAATCAGAAACGGGCAGCTTTTCGTGTTCGCTTCAGACGATTTCACCTCGATCCGTCCAGCGTCTTCCCCTCCGCTGGGATGTGGAGGACGTAGAGGATCGCCGCCGCCGGGGCGAGGGCGAGGCTGGCGGCGCTGCGCTGGCGCGCGGTGTGCTGACGGCGGCGCCTCTGGTGCTCTGGTGGGTTTTGGGGATCACCTTCGGTCGAGTGCATGAAGGCCGAGCGGACCGCGGGACACCGCGGCACTGGGTTACGTGGGTTTGAGCGAACGCAGGCGGGTGAGCACACGACATAGGCTGCACCGAAGACCAGAGGAGGGTTGGGGGTGGAAACAAGGTGGGCCTGAGAACTCAAATAGCAAAACCAAGTGAAACTCTCGTTTGCCCAGCCACCTTAGCCTTCCAAGACCATGAAAAGGCTTCAGCTGATAGGGTTTTGTAATGATAAGTCCAAGCATTCTTCATAAAATCATGGTTGTTCGGGAGTCCAACCTGAACAACATAGGCATGAGCTAGACGAAACATTCATGCTCCATATTGCCCGCTTTTTGTGGCCTCTAGTCTGCCATCTCAACCACTTCTCATGATTTTGAACCACAAAAAGGTACGAGGGAACTCGACCAACCTGTTCATTGTTCGGAGAGAAAGCTCCAACACCGGGACGTATATGTGGTGCTCACCAGTGCGAGAACAGATGTTCTCACCAGTGCGAGAACGCGAGCGGAAAAAGGATTCAGTCAATGACGACAGTGACATTCATGAAAACTCCGGAGCTTCAAAATATTTCTTGAAAGATGGAAGGCCTTCAACAATGGTGGGGAAGGAATTGTCGAGGCTATTGAGAGCCAAACAGGACATCCATGTGAAGAATGCTTGTAGCACAATCAATCTGATATATTATAGTTGCAGAACATGAAGAACATAAGCGTCAAACAGTATTCTTCTGAAGCCTTTTGAAGACCTGAGCACGTTCCGCACACGAATTCGAGACCCTGGGAAGTCGTAAGTCGTTTTTTGTGTCAAGAAAGTTCCATGCAACATCTGAGGGATGGTCAAAACTTCCAATTTTCCCAGAACCCTGGTAGGTTGGAGCTGGAGCCGTTCCACGCTTTTTGCCATCAGCGCCACCTCCAGTGTAGGGATCCAAGGCAGCAACTTGTGGCGACGGGGGGAGCGGAAGGGGCGGCGACTGTGGGTATGTGGAATTGGAGATTTTGTTCGGTATGTTTTTGCGGCGCTCTTTTTTGAAGGTGCTGGGTAGCTATATTTTTGTATTTTTTGCGTAGGGTTTTGGAGATGGCTTTAAGATGTTTTTGGCTTCAAAAAACCTATGAGAACAAGGAGCACCGGTGTTACTTCATTTGTCGAACGTCAGAATGGGCTCCTGTCTTAGTGTTTTGTTGCTGTTGTGCAAACGCACCTCTGAGTGTTGGTGTAGCTCCTCCTGGAAGAAGGAACTGGTTTGGGCCAGTTGGCTGGTTTCATAATTTGTTTCATGGATTGGTCTGGCTTTTGGCTGCGTCAAACTTAAACAGTCTTTCTCCCAAGTCAAACCAAGTTAAACCAAACAAAGTGGTTTCATCGTTGCTGCAAATGCACCACAACATGAACAAAAACTACTCCTTCACGCCTCAAACTCCAATCTCTCCAAGCAAATGCACGACGTCTGGTGCCTTTTGGCAGATTTCTAGGTCGAAGTGGCCCATTAGATGCGCGCTGTTAAGGGAACAAAAAGGGGTCCGATGTGGCTCACGCGGGTTCTTCCGTGCAGGGCTGGACTCCACGGATGAGGCGTCGCTGCTCTTCTGCTCCATTTACCTGCTGGTGGCCCGGCGGCGATGCCGGTGAGAACGCTGGGGTGGAGAGGGTGTCTGTTTTGGCTGAGAACACCGGGGCAGCTACCGAAGGAGGGTCTTTTGGAAGACTTGATCAGCACCCAACACCCCTGCCAGGTCACCGGGTGCGCTTCTTTTCGGAAAAACGACCACACCGCCCATGCCTGTCGGTCGAAGCATGGATGACCTGAGAGGGGTTGGGTGCTGGTTGGGTGCTGACTGGTGACCTAAGACCTGAGGTGGGGGTGCCGCTCTACGCCTCAGTCATCGCACGGGTCTCGTTGCTCATCGCGGACGGCATCGCCGCTCTGCAGAATTAGGGAGTGAGCCAATCTCAGAACATGAGAAAGATGAGGATGAGATTGATATGAATGAAAAAGGACCTGCGAAATCAATCATCACTCTTGGATGGATGGATGAGATGGATATGAATGAAAAAGGACTTGCAAAATTGAAAAATCATCAGTCTTGGATGGATGGTGAACCAATGCTGACATGGTCAGGAGCGGGCGAGGATGGCTGAGGGATCTTTCAGGTTGACTGAGGGTTTTCAGACATTTCATTCGCTTCCGAGGGACGTGTTTTTTTGGGGCTTGGGTGGAATCCCAGGTGAAACGCCGGCAGCGAGAAATCCGCAAGCGTGCGATTTTGGCCATGGAGGGCTGTGACGATGAGTGCCGGTTGGATGTCTTTTCCATGTATGACCACGACCAGGAGGGGTCTGCGACGACCGGTTGGATGTCAGTTTTCACCACAGAACAGAGTCGCACGAAGGCGCATCCTACGCCAGAGCATCTGGGGCAAAGACGATTGACCAAGCCTTTTAGAGGTGAATGCTAGACATCTACCATGCCTCAAGATGGGGTATTACAGGGAGTGACAGGGTATCGGGGTTTGATCTATTTTGATCTAGGAGGCCATCGCTATTAGGTTGGAGGCCATCGCTAGTAGGTTGTCGATCAGGGTTTGATCTATTTTGAGATATGTGGTGGTGCGTTGAGATATATGGCGCGACCCGAAGACGAAAGAATCGACTGGAGACTCCGATTTTTCCTGACCTGAACTATGAAAGAACATGTCATTAGTGTATAATAATCCCTGAAATTCCAAGAACCATTGCTTTTGTCTTTACCAAAATCATTGCTTGACTGAGGTTTTTGGACTACAAAACCAAGGTCAACAAACAATTCTTTTAAGGGTCTTTGAACGCTAGGATAATGCTAAAGGTTTTGGCAAGAGAAGCCCCACTGGTCACCCGAATCATCCAAAATCACACAAACTGTCTTGCTCTGGCACATGTGCACACATGTCTTCTACGTGTTTTCCAGTATTTTTTCTCAACAGGAACACATGCCTCCTCTTCTCCAAATCGTCTGCTAGCTCCTCCGGGGCCTCTCCTCCTCGCCTTCTCGCCGTGGCCGTGGCCGTGCGACCGCGCACGCGGAACGCTGTGGAGGATGGGCGAATCAACAAGAGGGAGATGCCAGAGCTCTTGAGGCACGGCGCGGCCGAAACACGTGAACAGCGCAGCCTCAGCACAGCGTGTTGGCACCGGACCGTGACCTGAGGCACATTGGTGTTGCAAATTGGTACCAAAACAACAGCCCCGCCGCCCGAAGAAAAACCACACACGTCCACCAACTTGGACTCTTCTGAGTTGGACCTGTTTCGGTATGTTTCAATAAGAGCATTCCCATTAAACCCAGGAGGTGAAAAAGGAACTACACACAAACATCTCATTGCATCGGGGGTGTCTCTCGAGACAAAAGCCTGTGTAACTCTGGACCTTCTTCTCTGCCAGGTTCCTATCTGCTGCAAGAGGATTGGAGATCACTGACCACGACATCCAATTCTTGATCAATGAGTGGGATGAGGACAAGACTGAGACCATCACCCAAGCGGACCTCTGGCTTGCAAGAAATTGGAGCAGTTTTGAAGATGTACATCGATCTGCTGGACGATGTTCTGCTTGCTGTTTTGCCGAATATATCCTTCTGTTGGACTCCCAAACAGGTATTGAACCACAAATAGATTAGGCCTGTCCTATTTTAGCTGCAACAGTTGGTACACAAGCATATATCAGTATTATCGAAACTATATTTCTGTGTGCACCTGACCTGAAACATGTATTATTTGTGTTATATTTGGACATTCTTTCTGCATATTTCGGAACCTCTTTTACCGCATCTGCCAAAAGTAGTCGTTTTTGTGCGTCTCTTGAAAGATCTCAGGAATTCTTGGCCGGCTTGAAGCAGTGGCAGTCGATGATTTCAGAGGGCAAAAGTAGCTGACGTTGGACGTTCTTGCAGAAATGGCTTTTGCAGCAGACCCGGTCGTGTCTTCGCACCCGGACGCAGCAAGACCACTCACCTGATGCTCGACTCCGCCCGGCCGCGGTGGAACGCGGATCCAGGCGGACCCCCACGGACCACGCCCGCCGGTCAAGGTCCTTCACGGTCCGCCGGTGTCGCCCGTGCCGCGGGGCGGACCGTGCCGCGGTGGTTCGCACCGGCGGAGCAGAAACAGGAGCTGTGCGGCGGCTGGTGCGACGGGCTGAGCCGGTCTGGGTGAGGCGAACAGAGGAGTTTTGGTGGACTAGTAAAGGATGTGGAGTAGAAGTTCTATGAGTGGTCTACTGGTAATGGAACATGGATAGACACACTTGTAGAACACTTGCAAGTTTGTATTTTTTTAAAGTTAAAGCTAGTGAGGTCCACAGGTGATTGGATTCTGCATTTCTTCAATGCAAAGTACACGCTCAATGCTCCTTTCAGGATGATCTGCCAACCTTCTCGCTTCGGTGCATCGTGTGAGTAGAAAACACCTCTATCAGGTGATCACGCATCACCAGATACGTTATGCTATGCACATGGATTCACCCTGGGGGTGATGCACAGATCTACATGTTGGAAGGCGTCCAAAAGTAACTAAAAAGAAGCTTGTAGCCCGGCCCGATCTCGCACGGATCTCGCGTCATACCTGACGGACCTGGTCCAGAGCTCCTCTGCGGTGTTTTCTCAGCCAGGCGCTTGTGGAACTCGCTCCTCGGGCCCTGTCCTTGAGATCGACTTGGGCAACTTCACGGCGGGGGACGCGGCAGACTCGCGGCTTCGGGTGCCTTTTTCGGGTGGAACCGGGGAGTTGGGGGGGTTTGGTCACCCAGAGTCCAATCCATTTGATCCCTAGTTCGTGACGAGTGGTGGAGGAGTGACGTGACTCGGTCAAGTGAGTCAAGTCACGGAAGTTTTTGGGAAAGAGAAAGCTAGAAGTCCCTGGTTCTTCAAAGTGACCGAACTTGACATCCCACTTTGAGGTCACAAAGGGGCCTGTAAAAGGTCACTGGATGGCACTCTAAAGGGGGTCACTTTGAAGAAGCTGGTCAAGATGTTTCTTATGGTGAAACCATCACTCTGTTTCTGCTCGTCGCCAGCACTTGCTTCGTCTATTTGGGTGAACCACCAAGCTACAAACATGACACATATAGGGATGTTCAATGAGCAGAAGGTACTTGCTGGCTCCCCTCAACCACTCCCCTCATCCATCTTTTCATTCCACTCCCCTAGCCTCCAGAAGGCACGTGAGCTGGCTCGAGAAATGAGAGCGTCCCTCTAAGCGTCCGGAGCCCGGTGCCTGGTGGTCGCGGTGTCCGGTGCTTCAGGTCGTCCTGGATCCCACTGACTATGCCAGGCTCGAGTTCCTCGACGAAGGCCGGGATCTCTCCGCCGGCACCGGGGGAGCTCGGTGCCAAGGAGCCCGGCACCGGGGCGGTCAGGTGGGGTTGAGGATGGAGGGATGGAGGGGAGAGCTGTGGGTCATGGCTGTGGCTGTGAGTCATGGCACAGGGATGCACAGGGGGACCTTGGTTGACCCCATGAATTGATCAAGAATGTCACGTGAAACTGAAACCATATGGTTTGGCGGGGGAGGAACTCAAGTCCGGTCATGTGGAAGAGGCCACGTACTTTCAGCAAGGATGCCAAAGGGTTGGATGGGTCGTGACCCACCAGGTAGGCCCGACCAGTCCACCAGTCCTACCAGGTAGGTGGGTTTTGACCCACAGCCATATGGTTCCATCATCTTTTCATCTTCTATCATATGGTCTTGGGGCTTGTCTAGGGTCCAAGCACGTCATTTTCAACTTACTTACCTTTGCGGACAGTTTTTCCCTACTCCAAATCCAGGATGTTTTTCTCTTTTAGTGCAAGTTGATTCTGCACCTAATAGGTTCTCAGCTCATCTTCAGCTTAGCAGTGGGTTTTTGCCGTGTGGGGTCTTCTCATGAAAGCCGATCGTCGCGACCCACCAACGATCGATTTCCACCCTCCGACGTTCCCCCGCGAGCGCGGGTTTCTTCGATCGTCCGCAGATGGTGACGACGAGGGCGAGACGAGCCGAAACTCTGCAGAAGACTCTGCGCAGGCAGCGGATGCAGGGTTGGCATAGAGTCTATGCCTCACCCCGCAAACGGGCATGTTCTTCCATGTTCTTCCCCTCCTTGGTCCGGCGTCCACAGATACAGGGCTGGGGGAGGAATTGGAGGAATCAGGAATGGTTGAGTTTCAACCAGACTTTCTTTCTTTTTTCATCTTTTTTCTTCAACCCCACTAAACAAGAATTCGGAAAGTCTGTGTTCACCTCTATTTTCGGAACTTGAGGGAGTCAACCGTGAGTCACCCCCTTTCAGATTTCTTGTCTGACCCCTCCGTCCGACCCCTTCGCCTGCTTCGCCTGTCACTCACGGCTCCAAGGAAACTATTTCGAAGAGAACACTGGCTCAGCCAAACACACACACACACACACGGCTCGTAGCTCGTCTCTCAGAGGCTCAGCTCGTGTTCGGACGGCCTTTCGCTCTTTCGCTTCGTCCGCTTCGATCAGGATGCGGCATCGGAGCCAGAGAGCTCTGGAGCCGGAGCTCAAGGCACGGATCGAAGGGGGCAGTCCAAAGGAGTTGGAGATGTGGCGCCACTTTGGCAGTTCTGGATTCCGGTATATGAGTCGTAGGTATGCATAGGTATGCATAGGTCTATTTGCTGTGGAGATTTCAACAGATGCAGGTGAAGTTGGTCAAGCGAACCGCGCTGGTTGATGAAGCCCTAGGTCTCGTTTCATGCTGCTGACGCCTTGCAATTGCAAAGAACATGTTGCAACTCCCACGTGAAGGTTTAGGCGGCTGCCCTCATATAGCGCACGGCCTCGCGCTGGAATGAGTCTTTGGCATAGGGAAGCCTCGATTTACCATGCCAAACAACTCTGGAAGGAGTGCAAGGAGAAGGCCAAGGGCAATACCTCCTTTCCTAGATTTTCCAAGATAGGGATGCATCCTACTGGACAAACCTCCAAAGAGAAAGGATCTGCATGCTGCATCCGTGCTGTATTTGGATGGCATCCACGCTTGAGCCATTCACCCCATGACCGTCCATGCATTCCTTGACTCGACACTGGCCGTCCATGCAGGCGCCGTGCATCCTGCCGGAGAGCAGACCTGCGCTGGGAGCCTTGGAAAACTGGAGGAAACCAGCTGACCCGTCTGACCCGTCGGGGGTCAACTGTGCGTCCGGCGACCGAGTCTGCGTCCTCTCACAGGTGCCGATGGTGATGCATATCGATCTGCCACCGCCCTTGCACGAGCGAACGCTGATCTTGGGCGAGCCGGTCTTACAGAGGCGGACTGGGGTCTGTCGGGTTGCGGGGTTGGTGGATGTGGGTTTGGGGGATGTGGTTGGAGGTCGGTGGCAGAACAACCATGGCAGTGAGCGAATGATTTGGGTCATCTACTCCAGACCTAGTAACGAGGGCATCGCTACTAGTAGCTCCTTGTTGCTAGTAGTAATGCCCTTGTTGCTAGTATCGATGTACTTATAGCTACTAATTAGTAGCTTCTTGTTAGTTGAACACATTAATTTATAAAACCAGTCTTGGACTCCCAGGGTACAGATCACAGAACTCCGACGATCTTCGCCGGAGCACCGGCGACGACCCACCGACGAGGTACTACACCGTCTTCGACGCCGACGGCGAGCGACCACGCGTGGGCTTCGCGCCTGCGCGGCATCAACTGGAGGTGGGCGAATGGGTAGCAGAGTTGGAATCGGCGAAGCTGATGTTGAGATGACCATGGTGCAACAATAACATCATTTGCATGTCAATTGCTGCCTCACTGACTCATCTCCTCTTCTCTTAGTAGTGGTTGCTTTGACCCTATGATAGTAGCAGAGTCAGAGGGTGGTCTACCCATTGACTACTCCCAAGGGTAAACTCGTCTCCTGGATTTGCTTACTGTAGAGTGGGGTGGCATTTCCAATGGCTGTTCGAAGGATTCGTGGATATTATACCCCAGGGCTCCAACTACCTCCGGAGAAGGTGGTTGGGGTGGGTTTGGGGGGTCTAACCACCTTCTGAGGATATGGGCCAGGAGCACAAATACTCATACTGGACTCATACTCATCTTTTGGAAGAAAGCTTATCTGGCCGGGAAGGAAAGCCTCGGGGGCAACCGATCCACACAAAAAAAACATCATGGTTGCATGTCTTTTTGAGGTCCGGCGAAGCGGACGCTCTGCGAACCGCGAACCCAAAAGCGCCGACTCTCCTTCTTTCTTGAACAACTAGCGGTGGATTGGACGTCTTCCCAAAAAAAAAAGCCAGTACAGACATGTCAAGAAGATCTTCCGCTTTCTGAAAGGGTGATTGGCCGAGTTCTCAGCCGTCGCGACCCGTCCCAATGTCTCATGGCTCGTCTCCTGCGTCTCCTCGACGCGCGAGACGGCGTCTCCTCCACCCGCCGAGTGAAGCGGAGCGACGCGACGCGCCAGTGAGGCGGTGGCAGAAGCACCGGAGGCCGCGAAGCTGAAGACAAAACCAAAGGGTTCTGTGGATCGCCCCAACTGATGACTCTAGATGGGATTTTACTGTCTTCAACAGAGGGCGACATGTTTTTTGATTTCTTGATTTGTTTAGAACTGGTTGAGGTGTGAGACTTTTTGTTGATTGAGTGGACATATTTGGATTTCTTGAATTGATTAGAACCGTTGAGGTCTGAGACGAATGCGGATTGTCCTGAAGATTTTCATGTGCATGATGGTCTTTTGCCCAAATAGATCTGGAAGACTGGTCAGACATTTCACACCCCATAGAGCAATCGCTGCTTCGTCGCTTCCCAAACGGCCCTAACGATCGATGTGTCTAGTATGCTAGGGGTGTACAGCGGCAGCTGTTCGAACGTGGTCTATCAGTTCCCTGGATGTTTGGAGTCCCAGCAGGCTGCTTACCTATGCGAGCGGCTTCCAGGATTGGTTTTTCAAAGAGATTCAACATCCAAAGCCCCTTTTTGCTGGAGCCAAACATCAAATCCTCCAACATCAAACCTTGTATCTTCAGTCCCTTTCTGCTGCGACTGGCGCTGGCTTGGCCGCCCTGGGTGCCTTTGCCTGCCAGGGGCCAGAAGCGTGAACGGGTGCACCTGCCGGAGACGTCGCACGTCTATTCACAGGGAGACCTGCCGGTTTGACCAGTGGGTTCGAAGGGAACCAAGAATGGGTTCCTTCAGGAAACGAGACCAGTCCACCCGGAAAAAGACCCCTGTTGAAGACACCCCTTTTCATGGATCCCCATGGGCTCTTGGTTTCAAACACCTGCAACCACCTGGCCCAGCGCACCCGAAGCACCCGAAAACTGGTCGGGTCATCGAGCATGAATTCGGCGGAGACGCGGAGACGACTGGTTCAGGTCGAGTTCGGTCTCTCCTGCTCCGCTCCGTTCGATGTAATCGTTTGAGAAATCGTTTCCACCACTTCGCTGAAAACGCCGCGGTCCGCGGTCTGCGGTCTGTTGGGAAAAGCTGAGAAGAAGCAGAGCCCAAATGACGGGGGGGCATGGTCGTGGTGGTGGCCGAAAGTGGTTGCCGCGGGTAGTTACCGGGTAATGAATGGTGTTTGTGTCTGTGATTCTTTGTGGAGTCCTTTAGCCATTGAAAAGCTGCTTGGTCAACCCTACAGGAGATTATTTGCCACATTGAACCAGCAAGAGACAACATTTGATTCATGCAATCGACTCATACACTCATGCGGTGGTTCACATGTAAGGATCTGACCAACTCCAGTGAATGATTTAGGATGCTTTACCATGTGTTCACGGTCTAAGCGTGAAGGAACAAGGGAGAGGTGTTTAGTATATAGGTTTTTCAGATACCTCATACACTTGAAGTTTACCTCGTAAGAAGGCCATGATGATGCGGTTGCCACTGGTTTGTCAGACGTTTCCACATCTGCATTCTCTGGATTGGGGAACATGCTTCTTACGCCATGCTTCGTTGGGAACATCAAGACGAAGACATACCCCAGATTCACATGGACCAGGTTCCACTGAAGAAGAGAAATGGGTCAAAACCGGTCAATTCTCAGGTTCCACTGGTCAATTGCCGGGGTGAGTGTAGCTCCTTTCTTCTGCACCGGTCAAGATCTGAACCTCTCATCCCGACCAAGCTGGCACACAAGTCCGACACGTGACCAGCGACCAGCGGGCGTCGCGCCGTGTGCAGCCTCCGGTGCGGAGCCATGGCAGCATGGAGCCTCTGGATCAACGCTGGCCCAGACAGGCCACGGACACGCACGCGACGGATGTCTCACCGGGCGTTTTCTGCGCAAAAGTCCATCAGGTTGGCTCGAAAAGCTAGGTCCCAAACTCATAGTTGTTCGCCCAACGATGCAAGAGAAGAACTATCCCGGATACGTAAAGTCTCGAAGCTGTGTTGCTTCAGAGAAATTCTGTCTTCTCCTACAAGGTGAAACGCAGGGACTGTCTTCTCCTACAGATTCCTGGAGGTCCACGTGACCGCAGTGCCTCGAGGGTCACGTGCCCACCGTCGCCCACCGTCGTCCGGCCGTCTTTGGCGGTGCAGCCGGACACGCCGTGTCCGGCCACCCACGGTGGTCCGTGGCCACACCGCGAGGTGCCCGCAGATCTGGAGGCAGAGGCCAAGAGGCTGCTGCAGTGGGCCAACAGCGATGCAGCCTGGCGAGGCGCAGGAGCGAGTGGCCATCGAGTGGTCTGGAAGATTGATTAGTAAGTGGTAAAAGCTGGAAAGGACTTTCTAGATAGGGATTCTTGAAAGCTGCGTCAACAGGGCGGGCTAGACAAAGGATGTGACAAAGCGAGAACTTTCACTAATGACCGTACTGGGACTATTGGTCAGATTACTTGAATCGACCTCCAGACTCATGGATTGACTCCAAGTGTTCATAGTTCTTCAACCAGAGCCAATTCGATGGGGTGAGGGTTAGAAACGATGTGCCCCAAAGGCCAATGTGAAATCATGTGAATGTTTCTGTACACGTGCGCACGGTGTTGTTTTGGTGTTGTCTCTGGGGAAGGAACAACCACCTCCAAAAGAGCTTCATCAAAATGATCCCCAGAACATCCGTTTTGACACCTCGTTCACTACCCCAGCTGGTAGTCATTGATCCACCACTGGAACAGCGCTGGACTCGATGCTTCGGCCCTCCGCCCGCGAGGCCCTCCGCCCGCCTCGTCTGCTGCGCCCAACCCATCGGTCGCAGTGAGGGGCGCGTCCGCGGCGGCGGGGTCCAGCTACCTGGGGGGCTGTGCGCCTCGACGAAAGGGGGGCTAAAGGGTCTCCAGACGGTCCTTGAGAAACATCGAACTGATGCCTTCGTTAAAAAGAAGGAAGTACATTGCTACTCAATTGCCTGCTGACCTTTCAAGAATCCTTTCGCATGAGCAACTCGTCGCCTGTGTCGAAGCGCCCGGCGTCCCTTTTTCCTCGTCGCTCGTCAGGAGGATCCCTTCGCAGAGCTCCTCGCGCAGAGCGACGGGGTCGCCTCCGGTTTCTGCGAGGTGCCGGTGATGCTGCTGCGGCGCATCCGCGCCGAGGGACAGGCGCCGCGATAGGGCGGGGGCAAAGGGCAGGGGCCGTCCCGCACCCGTTTCATACCTTTCACAGCATGCAGGATTTCTTCCGTTGTTGGCATCTCTCCACGCCGTGTCGGGCGCCTCGAGTTCAGCCCGGTGGGGTCTGACCCAGGACCTGTCTGACCACCCGTCTGACCCACGCGACCCGTCTGACGTGCAGGCTCAGTTGGCGGAGATCGCAGAGTTGCGCGCCCAGCTCGCCAAGCTCCCTGAGGTGGAGGCCAGGAAGGAGAAGGAGGGCGGGAGGAGGAGAGTGGGGCGAGAGTTATGCGCGCGCGGACTAGATGGAAGGAGGGACCCAGCAGGCGGGGTGGTTGGCTTGGCTTGGGGAGGAGGGCGTGTTTCAGCATGAGAAGGATGAGAAAGGAGCTGGCAGACTTATAGTCAGCTGCCGGATGCGGTGCTTGGTGTGGTGTGTGGGGGGTAAACCCATTTGCTTCAGGGGCGGAAACCTGTGGACTCTTTCGCTGAAAGACCTGACAGCATCGGATTCTTCCGCTGGGGCCTTGGTTCCGCAGCATCACAATCAGGTCAATCCTTCCCTGGCTCTCTCCCGATTTCTTGAGTCTGTGCTCCAAGGAGGAAGTCGCCGAGATGGAAGCGGAACTTCAAGAGCTGCAGACCAATTGCGTGGTCAATGCCAACGAGCCGCTCGGATGGGTCAGCTGCTCTGCTCTGTGTGCGGGGGAGGCTGAAGAGGCTTGTTTGTGTTGTAGCGTCAAACGGTATGGATTCATGGCATCCACAGCATCTCAAGACTCAAGAGATCTCAAGAGCATGTTCATGTAGAAGAGAGTTACACTCGAAAAACTCACATGGAAGGGGATGGCACCACCTATTTATCTATTTGTAGAGGAACTTTCAAGGGGCCATTTGCCACTTCCATGATTATTTCAGGGAGTGTATATTGAACATTTGCTTGAGTTGGTTGCCAGTTGGATATTTACCCTGAATTCTGCAGCCCGCGCCGCCGGACCGTTTTTGCGCTGCTGTCCAAGAGGTGCTTAAGGCTTAGCAGCGCAGCAAAGACCAGACATTCAGGATGTTAAGGTTGGAGAATGATTCTAATTTATATAATTGAAACTGTCCCACTTCCGACAGAGATGCACCCCGTCATACTGATAGGTTCAGGAAGCACAACATAGCATCATGATTGAGATTTTGTGGCTTCGGTTTCCGTGCTCCCCAAATTGCACTTCTTGCTACACCCCTTAAAACACGCGGGGGTCCATCCGAACCGTTCTCCGGTATAAACGACCCTCCGGTTCTTGACACATCAACCTGGGCGAAGCCTTGAGGATCGAGCTGCGGAAGATGGAGGCGCGATCGACGGGGAAACCTTCGAAACGCTCCACCACCTTCGTCCTTGACAGGGTGAAGTGGGGGCCGATAGATGTGAATTGTGGTTGTTTCGGTACTTGCGGGGGCCCCTCCCTTCGGTTTTGGAGGTTCACCTACAAGTTGCCTTGACTCTTAGAGACGGGTTTCTTCCATATTCGTCCATCAGATTTGAGGCGTTGACCGGTCTGTTGAGCGAGGATCAGAGGACAGGTCGGACAGGAGGACCATCGGTAGTGGATGAGGGTACGACCCGAAATTCCCAGAAGCATGGTTCCTTTTGACAACTAGTTTAAATTGTCTTTACTGCAGAATCATTTTTCTACTAAGGATTTTAGACTACAAAACCAGGTCAAGCATTCTTTTAATGGTCTTTGAAGATCTTTGAAGGCCAGGGCTATGTGACGACTATGCAGTACCAGGATGATCCGGGATCACCAGTACATCGTCTGTTGTAGAGGCGGGACAAAATTATCCGATTGTCCATGTCCCAAACCCTACAAGTGGCCCCAAAAGGATCCAAAAGGGCTCCACATTCGATCATATTATTTCAAGGCTTACGCCTAAGAGCGGGCCAAGCAGGCCAGCAGGGCAGGTGCAGGCGGTATCTGTTGCGCTTGCCCTCCGTTTCTTTTGCGTCGCCTCCTCTTTCACTTTCTCAACGGTTCTGCGATGGAAGGCGGTAAAAGTGCACAGGGGTCAGAGCGAGCTGGCCACCTGGGGCACGGCAAAGTGGGTATCCTGAGTGGTCCCTCCGGATGTTGTTGAGATTGATGTTGTTGTTGTTGTTGTTGTTGTTGGCGCAAGCGGGGCAGGTGCAGGTCCTCGTCCTCTTCCTTTTCCTCTGCCGCTTCCTCGTTCTCTTCCTCTTTCTCTTTCTCCTTCTCATTTTTTTTTCTCTCTCTCTCTCTCTCTCGCTGTCTCTTCCTCCCACCTTTCTCTTTCTCTTCCACTTCCTCTTGGTATTTCTCTTCCTCGTCCGCTTGCTCTTGCTCTGTCTCTGGCTCTGGCTCTTTCTCTGTCTCTCTCTCTCTCTCTCTGGCTCTCTCTTTTTTCCTTTCCTTTTTCCCTTTCTTTTTTCCCTTTCACTTTCTCTTCCCTTCCACTCTTTTTCTTCCTTGGAGCTATGTTGAGGCTATATTGAGCAATCTTGGAGCTATGTGGATGGTGTGTTGATCCATCCTGCGTTGTTTCTCTCTCCACGCTCTCCCCGTGGCCTCCGATAGAGGTGGGCCCGCAGGCCACCGAACGTCCCCACGCCAGGGCCTGACGCCTAAGAGCGCGCCAGGCAGGCAAGCAGGGCAGGTGCAGTCGCAGCTTGTCTTTTTATTTTTTTCCTTTCTCTTCCTTTTTCTCGTCCTGCTTCTGTCTCTTTCTTTTTCTCTTTCTCTTCCTTTTACCATGTCTGTTTCTTTTTCTCTTGAAGAGGAAAAGACGGAGAGCAAGCAAAAACACAAAATGCTAAGAACGCAAAGCAACTTGGGCAGCATATCTTGCACCACGGGCCTTGGAAAATGACCTCACATCCATCAACATATCCATCTTGAAGTGATCGATATGTTGATCCAGCTTACATCACTTCGACAAGTTTTGCATCTACCCATGCTCTTCTCAGGGGCCTGCGAGGTTCCAGGTGCCTCGTAAAGTCAATGTCCGCTCTTGGTCGGCGGCTCGAGGCCCGACCTGCCCCCACGTCTGGTGGGAGGGCGCCTTCGGCGGGTGGCGGCGCGCGCCGCGCGCGCCGTACCGCCTCGCGCCGCCTCAATCCAAAGGGCACCAAATTGCGTCCGGACGCGCGGAGTCAAACCCGGGACCAAAGCCAACGCTTTTCCGTCCCAGAAGAGAAGAATTTAGACACATGTCATTGAAGCGTCAGGTCTTTGGCAAGTGTTTATCAATGTGACGGCTGAGTAACATCGCCCACCACTCACCGGAGTCCTTCAACAGCAACACGCCGGCCCCGCTCCGCTACGCTCACATTCATTGGCCTAGAATCCATGTGAGACTTCTGCTAGCGGAGCAGGATGATTTCCTGAAAAGAAGGCGCTTTCCAAGAAAGCACCACGAGTCGTGCCCCGCAACTCCTGACAACCAATGTGGTGCATGGGGCATCAGAATTCAGAAAAATATTTTTGCTGGCTTGGTCCATCAACTTCATCAATCACCTGGAGATCTACCATGAACCGAAGCGTTTCAAGCTTTGAAAAGTGGACAGTTCGATGGATCCAACTTTGCATGTGGCCATGCGGCAGTCGTACCACATGCAGATCCTTTTTGGTCTCTCTTTTCATGGTCATGTCTATGTTTCCCCTCGAAGAATTTTAAGACAATACGCTCGGAGTCATGTTGCACGAAAGTGGAAAACCTGTTTGTAGAGGAACATGTAAAAATGGACAGCAACTACCCACAAAGGTTTTCAGAACATTTTAGACTATTGTATCCCAAAGGTTTATGAAGTGACGGGTCCTAGATCAGGTCATTTACTTGACCTCTCTTGGGCACCTCCCCGTCCGTCGAGACGACGGCGTGTGGAGCGTTTGGTGGAGGTCCGCCGTCCGGTGGGAAGTCCTTGGAGCCGTTGGCGTACGAACGCCCGGCCACATGGATGTTCCGAACAAGTGGCAATGGGAACACCCATGTCCTGCCTCAGCAAGGAGATGTTCGCAAAAACTTGCCCCAGAGGTTGGGCGGTTGGGTGTTTTCTTCTTCCCTAAGAATCCGAATCCGGCCCAGACTCTTTGGGTTGGTCGTTTCTGTTGTGTGTCATCTCCGTTCTTGTTCACGTTCATGTTCGTCCCCTTCCCTCCAGTCAACGCGAGATGAGGCAGAGACTTTGGCCTCGGAGGCGGTACGCTTGAAGGCGGCTGAGGGAAAAAACGGACGTGAAAGAGCAGCCAAGAAGGCCCAAAGACAACTCTTCCTGGCACAACGTCATTGATACAAACGTTCTTTTTGTAATATACTACACGTATATTAGACTTTCTGCTATTCTGTTTGTTATGTTTTTGCCCAAGTTCTGCTGTGAGAGAAATCGCCGGGGCGTTGGGCAGCAGCAGCGCGCAGCGCCGCAGCGCAGGACGAGAAGCAGCAGCGCATGAAGCGGTTGGAGGCCTTGACGGCCCAGGTGGGGTTGTGGGCATCGCGTGGCCTCCTGTATTTGTTCACTTGGACCGTGAACGTAGCGAGACCCACATGGAACCGGGCTTGGCATGGACCAGACTGGAAGACGATTTTCCTCTACAACCCAGTGGCTTTCAGGCTCCATGTTCATCTTCCAGGGCGTGGATGCTTGTAAGACTCTTCTCATTTACCACCCCATAGTTTACATGGTGAATTTGCAGGAGGGTAGCTGCGCCACGCAGCGAAGGCCAGGTGGCATCGCTGGCAGGGGGGATCAGGGGAGCTGAATCCCTTCCAACCAAAGAATGCCGAAAACGAGCTTTGCTGCTTCGCTTTCACCAACTTCCTTGGCCCCCCCAAGACCCCAGCTCTGAGCTCTGCCCCAGGTCAGCTGTCCCCAACCTCTGGCCATTTTGGGCTCGGCCATTGGGCTCACTGACGGTAGACCCGAAAAAAAACTGGACTGCGCGAAGTAAACATCACTTGACGTGGTAGAAACATCCTCGCCATGGACTGCCAATGCATCGCAGCGATGAGTGGTGGGGCCCCTTTGTCCTTGCACCGCATCAAACGCCGCCGTGTTGGCAACAAGGCGAGGGGTATAGTCAATTCCTGGTGTGCTGGCCTGTGGCCTGTGGGCATGTCTTTCTTTTCTTGTTACATTTTCTGGCTGTTCAGACCTTCCCGCGAAACTGGGTGCGGCGGGGATCCAACCCTTTTCAGCGGACTTTTTGAGATTTCCGAAGATTTCAGACCACCCAGCGAGAGCAACGACTCCGATGTGGCGATTCAGCAATGTTCACCCCCGGGCCCAAGACTGACCGATGAGGCGACGAAGATCGTTGTTTTTCTGAAAGCTGCCGTCGTGCAGGACGTTCACATCAGCATCAAGTACGCCGGTATCTGCCATTCTGACATCCATCAGGCACGTGAGGAGCCCGGGTTGAGTGGGACAAGCATCTACCGCGTGTGGATGAGTATGCGAGTATGCTGTTCATTTCTGCCATTGCCAAAAGGCCGAACATGGCCGAAGCATGTTCCCAACCCATCGCGCTTTCTGTTTGGCGCTTTCTCTCCCTTTTGGACCTTCCCCCTCTTTGGACCGGGAAGTTGGACTCGATGACCGGGACGCTTCGGACCGGTCCCATCTCCTTTTCGCTCTTCGCCCTGAGTACCTCGCGCGCGAGGTGTTCGCGCACCGTCCGCGCTCCCCAGGAGTGGGGCAAGGGCATCTTCCCCATGGTGCCCGGTCACGAGATCGCGGGCGTGGTGGAGTCCGTGGGCGAAGGCGTAACCAAGTTCAAGGTCGGACGCTCGGAATGACGGAGCGTCCGGACGCCGGAGCGTCCGGAGCGACACGGAGCGGATTCCGATGAAGGTCGGCCACCGGGAGGATGGAGGTCTGGAAGGTGAGAGGATGGGAAGGATGGACTTGGTGAGCGGATCTCGCGGAAGGAGAGGAGCCGACAGCGACGGTGGATTTGGCAAGACAAGTGGATGAACGAATCCCGGAGAGACTGATCCTTGAGCAGGGGAGTGTATCGTTTGGCTAGGGATCAACGATTTCTGACTTTGCCAGCCCTGTTCTTCCATGACAAGGTTTCGTGGCAAGCCCACCACTTGTACCTGTGGCTGGGTCCTGGCTGGGTGTTGAGATACGCACCATGAGGAGACTCCACTGTTGTCTTATAGATTCATACCGCACCAACTCCTAGGAGTCCTTCATTGTGACCGCAGGATGCTGTTCATCAACACGGTTTGCACCGGGGGATACCTGCGAAGACGAGCAGAGGAACCACATGTTCCCCAACCTGTTTGGGGTCCGATTCCTGGTTTTCAGCTGTAGCCAATCCCAAGAATCGAAAAGCTGGATACTTCTGGAACATCGCTCTCCAACAAGCACCCAGAGCCACGCATTTCCCCAAGTGATTCTGACTCACACATACCAAAAGCCTAGGGAGAGAGGAAGCAACACATGGATCAACTAAGCGTAGATGGCCTTTGATGCCCTTTGGTTGGTGGATGTCAACCTATCGGGGATACCCCCGTGTCGTGTACAGTTTGGTTTGTTCTTTTTTTTTGGCGCTCGACGCCTATTGTAGATTCCCGTGCGTTGTCGGCTCATCTCGTGAGCGAGTTCGTCACAACTGGATTCAGTTGGTCATCGCGAGAGGATGGTTGGGTTTAAATTTTAAATCCAAGTGCGGACATTGTTCCGGAACTTCGAGCTACAGTCACTTTGCTAGCTGCTAGCTGCTGACAAGAGTGATCCCCAAATAGATAGTGATCTAAATGCTGACAAGAGTGATCCCCAAATAGATAGTGGTCTAATGTGATCTACTTTTCTACCTATTTGAGGATCACGATGGACTCTGGGGCAACTTGAAGTTGCCATCTTCTGGTCTTTGCCTAAGCTTGCCCAAGGAGACAAGGTGGGTGTCGGCGTCTTCGTGGACTCCTGCCGCCAGTGCAGCGCCTGCAAGAGCGGCGATGAGAACTACTGTGAACCCGGAATGGTGGCCACCTACAATGGGCGATACAATTACAAGCACTGTGAGGAGTGAGTGCTTGGGGGCTGCTCTCTCTCTCTCTCTCTTCTTTTTCCAGCGCTGGGCCTTGTAGTTGGCATGCATGTCACAGGTACCACGTGTATGGCGGGGTATGTCTCATGCGTCTCTTTTCGGCCTCTCATCGTCTGGTCGTTCGGGAAACGGAACTGGCGTCTTCACTAGACCGGAGCCCTGGGTGGGTGGTTCCACGTTTGGAAGGACCATGAGCCACGATGCCATCTTAAGGTCAGGTGATGAACGTGGTGTCTGCATGTTCCTCTCCCTAAGAGGTCATACGTGAAGAGATGGCTGTGGGGCATAGACCATATGGCTGTGGGCCATGGCACCGGGAATTGTGGGTTATAGGTGGGTTGACCTCGCCGAGGTCCCGTTGGTCGTCTATTCATGTTCGGTGGGAAAAACCAGGGTGTCGTGCTGCCATGACCCACAGCCATATCATATGGTCACCGATGGGGCGACATTGATTTGAGAAAGAAAGCTCTCCGATCCGCCCGGTTTCTTTACGAAAGAGATCGAGGTTTGGGGAACCGAGCAACCACCCTTGGGCACAGTGCGATATGTGTGTAGTGACGTTTGCGTGGAGCAGAGTGTGCCAAGAAGGAGGAGAAAGGACTGCACCTCCCTAGAAGCTCCCATGAAGACGGAGAACTGATAAGGACTCCTACAACACACTGATGCAAGGCCAACGGTTTTTGTTGCCGACCGGTGACCTAGAAGGAACATCTTACATGTTCAACGGGAGCTTCAGGTAGTTGGTCTTTGCCTCTGTGTGTGTTCGCATTGCAATTCGGAGCGATGCTCCTGCTGTTTCTCCACTTTTTTGATCGGCGGTGCAATGACTTGAGTTGAGCATCCCCATGTATGCCGTGGGTTGCTTGTGATCCATTAGAAGCTGGGATATGTTCATTCAGAAAGCAGATCAGTTCAACGGGTTGATCGCACATGAATAATGAACATACCCCATGTTAAACTTACATTGATCATATCCCAGTTGATGAAGCAATCCCAGGCAGCATTCATCCACGGTAAGGAAACAGCTAAACAGCAAGACGGTTGATCCTTCCAAAACCAGACGTCCGGCCCCGCTCGGCGACCACGAGGAGTACGATGAGGAGGGTGGTGCTCCGACGTACGGCGGGTACTCGCAAAGTATCACCGTGGACGAGGCGAGTGACGGACGGAACGCCGGCGACGAACGGCGGAACTCGGAAGGGAGACGACGCGGCGAAGCGCATGTAGACGGTGGATGAAATTTTAGCTTTTTCAAGCCCCCTTATGAAGAGGTGTTTCACTCCAAGAATATATATACATATAAATTATATCACCTATACTGATACATACTGATACTATATACACCCTAGAAGTGGAACCACCATTTTTTTTTTAGCCTTTACCGGACCACCATTGTTTTACGAAGGGTTTTACACTACAAAACCAGATCAACCATTTTAAACATGGTCTTGGACTTCCAGGGTACATGTGTATAATATTATCAGGAGGTGTTTGTTTTCATGAAGGCATCCCATGGAAGTGGATGGCATGGTCTATCGGAAGACTACTTACTTTTCCTTTGCAAGCAGAGGCTGGTGGTCCCACTTCTTAGAGGGGCTCACACATCAACCTTTTGGCGCCAGAAAGGGAAGAAAGTGAAGCGATCGTCCCTTTTTTTCCCCTCCATGTGAAGCAGTGAAGCGCGGATCATTTCTGAAATGCAAAAGAACAACAAAAGCAATTGAGGCGTTCCCATGACCAGGAATAATTTTAGACATGCATTTCCACGACCCTGATGAGGCCTATGTCTTGAAGATTCCTGATGGCATGGATATGGCGGGTGCCGCCCCACTGCTTTGCGCAGGCGAGGAACAAATCAGCCCACAATTGGACAGATTTCCTTCTCTTAGGCAGAGAGAGCTTTTGGGCTCTCGGCTCCCAGTGTTCTGCACCAGTCATGCACATCAGCTGATGCTCTTTCAGGCACCATGGATGACTCCACAGCTCGGTGTGCCCACTCACCCCAGTGAACCAAGCTCCACCAAGCTCCGAAGACGTCCGGGTATCCACTTCACCTAGTCGCCAGTCCAGTCGCCAGTCCCGAACCACCTCAACCACCGAAAACCAGTCCCGTTAGCCCGGTCAGTCAAGCTAAGCTCCTCTTTCTCTTCTTCTGAAGCCTTCGCCCTCTTGGTTTTTTCCATTCCTCTCATCCTGATCAGGCATCACCGTCTATGCTCCGATGGTCTTCCACAACTTGAAGCCCGGCATGAAGCTGGCCGTCGCAGGGCTGGGCGGCCTGGGTGCCATGGCAGTGCTCATCGGCAAGGCCATGGGCGCCGAGGTCACCGTGCTCACGCGCTCCGCCGCCAAGAAGACGGGGACGCTGGGGAGACCCGGTGGCCGGAGCGGGCATCGCCTCCGGGTGCGAAGAGCATCGCTATTGGGGGTTGGAGGCCATTCGCTACTAGGATGGAGGCCATCACAGGTAGGTTGGAGGTCATTCGCTAGGTATTTAAGAACACAATCGCTGGGACTTGAGCACGTGGGTTCCAAAGCTCGACTTTGTCACGAGTTACGACCGAGTTCGACGCCGAAGTTCGACCTGGTTCCCTTCCAATCTGTCCACGATTCTTCGACCGGACAGGCATGACCGATTCTCTGATTTCTGGTTAAAGGTTCAAGAGAGGTTGAGTGACCTGAACTAGGACCCTACTGGGGTACCTATGGGATAGTCGAACTAGGGTCCTTCAACCTCTGTTGGGTATACCGTATACCCTTTGATTTCAATTATTCACAATGATGATGGTGACCTTATGGCTGTTGTAAGAAGGTCCACGAAAAATGAACAGTTCTTGCACTTTGCATGCAAGATTTGTTCAGGAAGAGGCGCTGAAGGGTCTCAAGGCAGACAAGGTCGTGGTGGTCACTGATGAGGCGCGATGCGCGATGGTTAGAAAAACCGTCTCCTACCTGGGGGCTGTTGTGGTGGGCAACCACTTGAGTGGCCTGCAGGATAGATCCAACAACATGGTTATTGGGGTTCAAATCTGAAAGAGCTACTCTTGCAGTCATATGGATTTTCAACCTTGGCTTCACGCTGCATCCTCTTTGGGAGCCACCCAGCTCCACGAGTGCTTCACATGAGATCTCCACTTTGAGAGGGTGCTATCAAAACTAGAGTGCTTCAAGACAAGCGAAAGACCCTGGTAAAGCATGGCAAGACCAGTGCTGCTGCACTCAATGTTCTTAAAAGGTGTCTATATTTGGTGCATAGGTTTCAACATATCAGCACTTGCCCCACCAACAAACCCTATCAACCTGCGGCACCCAGTGTATAGTGTATACAAATGTTCTACCAAATTCTGACGGAATACCTCTCAGGCCTCTTTAAGGAACCCGCGTCAAAACACCCGTTTTCACCCCGTGGGAAACCCGGTCGACTCGGTCCTGTCGGGTGTCGCCTCTACCCGAGATCGCTCGAGGACGAGGCCAAGTCGGTGAAGGGCCACGTGGCCGTCGGTGAAGGGGAGCGGCGCGGTCCGCGGAGCCGTCGGTGCGGGGGGGGTTCGGCGGAGCGGAGCAAGCGCCGAAGGCGACGAAGGTCGCCGAGTTTTTCGGGCGAACGGGCGAAGGAACCGGGGGAGATGCAGAAGAGACGGAGGTCTTTTGGAACGGGGGCGTGCCAACGCACATGCTACGGATGACGATGCAGTCATCCGATGGCGGTGTTGTGGGGTGGTGGTGTGGTGGTTCAAAAGGCAAGTCCTCTGTGGGGTTGGGGGAACAGAAAGGTGGCTTCATGTAGGCTAGTAGATGTAAGAGGCTCGGCTGCACTCAGCTGCGGCATCACTGGACAGCTTTGACTTGCAGATAGAAGAGCTTTCTGAGCTCGACCTTCGTGTTTTTGAGTGGTGATCGAGTCCGTTGGTTGGGAGGTATCTCCTAAAAGTTGGAATAGTTGGACCATGTGGGACCCGTGGGACACTTGGTTTTGGAGATACCCCAACAAATTGCTATGATGGCTTGGAAAACAAGGAGAAGTACCATCACCCAGACACTCCATGGGACTGCCACATATGCCGATCAATTGGGGTGGTTTTGGGGGTCAATGTAGGCATTTGTGGCAGTCCCATGGAGTGTCTGGGTGATATGCAATCTCTCTTGTCTGACTTTGCTATCGTCAACCGAACCGAGTATCACACCTGGCCCTCCATCAGGCATCTGCTGCCTGTTGGAGCACAGTGTTAGAAATGGAGGCGATCCTAGAAGCCCTCCCCACCCCTCCTAGCGATAGCACATCTGGTACGAGCTGACCAGGATTGCCAAAGTCTCTCCAGAGAGCACCCGAATGCACAGATACAAATAGGTTCCCTCGCTCGCTTTCCGGGTTCCTGTCCCAGCGCGACGTCTTCGGCGACCCGTGAAGTAGCCGCGGTCGCCCCCCCAACAGGGCTTTAGGTCCGTGGACAGTCAGTCTGACAGACCCAAAAAAGCCACGCCGACAGCTGAGGTTATTTCAACATGATGATTAACACCATTAGCGCCCAATACGACCTCAGTGCCTACTTGGACATGTTGGCCAATGCTGGAAAGCTCCTGGGACCTTCAAGCCCTCTTTTCATCCCTGACGAAGGACGCCTTCTGCCCAGCAAACGAAAATGACATGTTGTTGCAAGAGCTGGGTCAGCTGGGTGGTGAGCAGATCTAGCTTTGTCTTCAAGTCTTCAGATCCAGAGCTTCAAGTTGTAGGTCATGTCCTTTGTTTTCTTCCATGTGTCGACCCCCTCTCCACCGGCGTTCGGGTGGTTGGATCCGAACATAGCCTGGTCCCTTCACCCCTGGCCGTTGGAGCCGGAGTGAAGCTGGCTCGCCGGAGCCAAGGTGAAGGGTCCAGCTGGCTCGCCGACGTCGGAGTCGACACCGTTGACATCGTGTCCTCACCGAAAACGGTCCACCCGGTCCGGTGCAGAAGACCCCCGGACCACACCGGGACCACACCGGGACCACACCGGGACCCGCGGTCAGGTTCATCATGGTGGGTTTGCCCTCCGAGCCGTTGAGCTTGAAGGGCTTCGGCATCGTGGGAGAGCGCAAGATGGTCGCGGGCTCCAAGATCGGTAACATCAAGGCGGGACAAGTCCTGAAAAAGAGGAAGAGAGTCTAAGAGACGAGTTATTCTTTTTGTTTTGAATAGTCTTTTTTTTGAGGTCTTCTTTTTTCATTCTTTTTGGAGCGAGTCGCATTGATTTGGAGATGGTTGACCTGGTTTAGGTCCTTTGCAAATTCTTAATTACAAAGGTTGTTTGGGATTCAGATCATTTGAATTGAGGTGGTTGGAATTTGTGGGTTTGTACATCCAGGGTTTTTGGCCTGTGGGAAAGGGACGGAACTTCCAGGAACATCTGGCTGAAGTTCAGAAACTGGCTGAAGTTCGCAAACTGGCGAAGTCTCCTGGGTGTTGTGTGTTCATCCTCAACTCCAAAATCCATCCTGCATCCCAGGACTAAATTCTCATTCATCTCCCGTTCGAATAGGACTGACTGGTGGTGTAGTGCCAAAAATCCTTGGGCGAAACAAGGGTTCTTTGGTACAGGCTAAAAAGAAACATGGTTGGCCACGAATCCTATAGGGATCTCATTCATCTCATTCATCTCCAACTCCTCCAACCGAATCTCCAACATCTCCAAATCCTCCAGACCTCAGCTCTCCATGTTCAAATCCTTCCCCTTTCTCTGCAGGAGACCCAGGACATGCTGGACTTCTGCGCGAAGCACGGCATCACCTGCCCCCACGAGCTCATCCCCGCCGACCCCGCCAAGGTCAACGAAGCCTACGAACGCGCCATCAAGTCGGACGTGAGGCGCGCTCAAGTGGAGCCGCCGGACGGACGCAATTGGTGGGTCGGTTGGTGGCCGGATCTTCAGTCGAGACTTTGCGTGAAGGTTGGGGTACTGAAGGTTGGTGAAGGTTTGGGTTGAGCAAACGTTATGGTTGGTGACCTACGGCCCGCCATGCTGTCGTGTGACTTGCTGTGTGAAACTCACGGTGTCCAAAAACGCCTGTCTTTTTTGCCCAGACACAGACCTGGCTTTCAAGCCTTTGAAGGTCTGCCCCGAACACAGACGAACTTGGGAACTTGGTCACTTCGGTCGCCAACTGCTGTCGGGTTCATAACTCAACTAGTTTCATTTCGTGAGTTAGCAGTCTTCTGTCTTCAGGAGTCACAAAGGGGTGGCTTTTAGTCCCATGCAGTGAGTGGATAAGGGGCACACCTATCAAACAATAGGCACCCCCTTGTGACTCCTGGCTGGTATTTATTGCTGATATTAGATATTGCTTCGCCAATCCATTTGGCAGAAACCTGCCGTGAAGAAAGACACCCAAAAAGGAAGCCTGAGTGACTGCTGTAGAAAGCGTTGCCTACAGATGACTAGTCCTGACATTTTATTTGAGGTGAGTCTTGTTGGAGAGGAACTTGGACCTCCTCAAAACGCTCCCTCCCCAAGCCTGACGGGTCTTGATTTGTCGTCCGCAAACCAGCCCCTGTTTGTGCCGGAAAGAGCTGCTTTTCTGCCAGTTGCGGGGAGTAGACGGAAGTCAGGAAATCCTACACCAACTCGTCCAAGTCCGGGAAACACTGTTTATGTTTCCAAGATCTTCGTCAGTTGGTCAGTTGCCGGACCAGCCGGGTTGCGTGCTTGCCGAGGTACCGCTTTGTGATTGACACCTCCACGTTTCCAAAGTAAGAGATTGCGAGAGTGACAGCAATGCTCACCTGGACTCGGTGAACAGATCCGGAGACGAGAGATCGGCTGGTTCCGAGGAATATCGGAATATCAGCTTCTCTATTTCGCTTCGTGTTCAATCTTTGCGGAACGGAGGTTTTGGCCTCTTTGTCAACTTCCGACTTTCTCTTGGCAACACGCCAAGCGGCTCTTGAGGAAGAGCCCTTTTTGCAGACACCAACTCAGACTGTGCACTGGCCAGTCACTTTTGCGGCATTCAAAAAGAACCGAACACTGCAGACACACGCCCAGAGTCGCCTGTCCAGAGCCCGCTATGAGTTGCCCAGTTGCCTGAGCTGAGCAGATGTCGTCACTGCCCGCCATGTCTCGCCTGTGTGTGTCGACAACGGGAGAATGATCAGCAAGACACCACCTGGATGCTTTTCGAGGTCACCCACCTGGATTTCCTCCCCGTCCCAACCAGAAACAAGTCGACTGATGGAACGAAACCCCCTCCGAGTCCCAGCCACTGTAAAAGGATCTGAGGCTGGCGGGTTCCAACCCTTTCTCTCTGCTTGGGGACGGGATTTCTAGGAACCCCCCCCATCCCGCGCTCCCTTAGTGGGGACCTCGCGGCACCTCCGATCCGCGACGAAGGAGCTCCGTCGTCGCACCGACCGAGCCGTCCGACGTGTCAGGCGGATGAGATCGAATTCTGGTTGGACGCCGCGGGCCATGCGCCCGCCGGCCCCGAGGCGCCTCGGCGCGACGGACGACGAGGGCGACGGACGGTGGAGAGGGGAGGACGCTATTTGCTGAGCTTGGGGACGATCCGGAAGTATTCACTCCCCGTCGACCCTCTTCAGGACTCCCCTTCGACCCGTGCGCCGCCGCGACCCGACACGACTCCTTCGTCGCCCGGGCCGCTCCCGTCGTCAGGGCCGCGCGCGGGTGGAGCGCTACAGGGCGGCGGCGCAGCAGGCCGCGCAACAGGCGAAGGCGGCGACGGCTTCGGCGGCTTCGGCTGCACCAGGCATGGGCGGGATTGGAGGTGGGGAAGAAGAGGAAGGTGGGGGAATGGACCAGGAAAAGAGGAGATTTCAAACGATTTCAGCAAGTCACTAAATTAAGTTAAGAGCAAATGGGTGTGTATTGAAATACGGAGACCTCCCAAACACCGCTGGAAGAAGGAAAATATGGACCGAACGCCGTTGGTGGGACGTTTCGCTATCGAAATACACACCCAAATGGAACTTCTAGTTTAGTGTCTTGACCCTTTTGTTTGGCGATGAAGCTGGCCGGTCGTGATTCAGGTACGGAAGGTACCAGCCAGACTGGGTTCCAACCAGAACTGTGATGTCAGACTGGTGCCAGCCAGGTGGCGCCGGATCGGCCGCTTCGGCGGCAGAGTCGGGTCCTGCGGAAGCTGCGGCTGCCGGTTCTGCGCTGCGTGGGAGTGCAGATGTGCCGGTCCTGACCTTGGAGCAGTGGAAGGAGCTGGGAGTGGGTGGGACCAGCCCAGGTGTGTGAAAGGCACATGGGGGGGGGACTGCATGGGGTGATTCTGCTTGAAATTGGGACATCAACGTATGGCCATTTCTTGAACCAACCCCGGCTGGCCCGCTGAAATTGTATGAGGTACGCTCCCACGTTCATCCCACCGGTGTAGCGGTGAAACAACCCGGAGAACTCCAGCATGGATCAGTACCGCGACAAAATGATCCAGCTGTCCGATTCGAGAGCTGACTGGGAATTCAAGTTGAAGCCACCCCGAGTTTGAATTCGTCTTGGGTTTTCCAAATTGAACCCAAGTCAACTTGGGTTTCCCAGTGGAGAATAATGCCAGTTAGTCAATTGAAGCCCCAGTCAACTAATTGAAGCCACTTTGGGTTTCTGAGCAGTTTCAAAGTCCTTTGGAGAAGAGTTGCCCACGACCGATCCATGAAGATGGTCTTTTCTTCGATCGCTGCTTTGGGCTGCTTCTATATTTGCTGGTATGTAGGTTGCATCTTCCAGTGCTCAGACTACACCAGACTGTAGATGCAAGCTACACCCACATCCACCCAAACTGTAGATGCAATCTTCACTGGTGTACTACACCCAGTTTCACCTTCAAAGGCTTCCAGGCCATCGACTTGGACCCTCTCTTCTTATCTCTACAGCTGGGGATCGACGATCCCGCGACGGCCTATGTGACGTGTCGACGTGTCCCTATGTTTGAAAGGCCTTTCTTCTTTCCAAGACCCCACATGGAGACCAGGACTTTTTGAGCCTTTCTTCCCCCTTTTTAGGAGACCAGAGGTCAGTCCCCTAAAAGTATGGGAACTTCTTTTCTTCGGAGAGCCCCTGTTGGGGCCGAGCCAACATGTTTCTTCCTGTGGAGAAGCTTTTCGCGAGGCGCTTTCCTCGACTGCGCTCTCGTTTTGGTGTCGGGCGTATTTTCGGACTTGGTGGTCACTTTTCATGGCAGCCGCGAGGGAAGCCTCGTGTTTTGGTGGTCCAAAGTCAACCTTTCGTGGCAGGTGCAGGGCATCGGCACTTTTTTTCTGCGATGTGCAGATCTCATGGCAGGCGCAGCATCTATTTAGGCATCTAGGCATCTCATCTCTGTCAATATTTGAAAGTCCAAGCGCCTCCAAAGGCCAAAGTGCGGAGTGCAGAGTGAGGAGGCTATATTATCTCCCAGCTGTTGTGGTACAACTTGCCCACAAGGCTTACCTGAACTCAGAGTTCAAGAGTTCAGGCTCTGGACTCTAGACTCTGCGCGGTGCACTCTTGAAAGTGGTAACAAACATCAACAAGCTGCTGCAGGTGCTTTGCACCAACCACCAAGCCACTACCACACTACCACTACCACACTACCACGCTACCACACTACCACGCTACAACACTACCACTACCACGCTACCACACTACCGCACGACCACACTACCACACGACCACACTACCACACGACCACACTACC